GCTCCCGGGCCCCCCAACTTAGGGGACAACCGGTTAGCTATATTTGCAACCAGCCCCGAAAAGAAAAAAAACGTGTTGCGAGTCAATCCCAGGTTTGTGGTAGTTGCCCAATCCCAGGTTTGTGGTAGTTGCTTCTATTGATGACAAAAAACCTATTTCAGAATTCTCCTGTTTTGCTGTGCAGCGTTCGCTGCATCTCATTAGCAAACAAGTAATTTACATAACCGAACTCTGCGATGGTAATTTGTTGTTACTTGCACAAGATAAAACGGTAGCTGACAAATTTCTATCAGCCAAGGAGCTTTTTGGGCATTGTAAAATCAAATGCACTCTGCACAACACACTTAACTTCACCAAAGGCACAATATATGCTCCATATCTAAACAAAGTCCCTTAAGAGGAAATCGTCCAAGAATTGAGATCCCAAGGTGTGGTTTCGGCATTCAAATTCCCCAAATTTAGTGAAGGTAATCCCCATCCCAGCGGGGTGATTCTCCTCTCCTTTGACCTTTACCATCTTCCGGACAAACAAGACATTTCATGGCATTCTGTGAAAGTGAGGGAATATATTGCAAATCCCATGCGCTGTAAAAACTGCCAGTTATTGGGACATACTGCTAAGCGATGCAATAATGATGTAGCATACGTTAACGTGGTACCTCTCTCCCCAAAAGATTGCATTCGCACCCATTGCGCAAACTGTGCTGAAAAACATCCCGCATCCTCCAAAGACTGCACTAAATTTATACAACAAAAGGAAATACTAAAAATCAAAACAACAAAAAAATGTTCAATGCGAGAAGCAAGGCAAATACATAAGTCGCAAACTGGTTCTTCTATCCCACATGGAACCTACGCTTCGGAACTAGCAAGCCCTAAAACAACTTTACAAACCTTACTAAACACACACCAACAGCTACAACAATACCTTCAGGAGACAAACCCACCACAATCACACCCAAATTGGCCTTCTCAAGATCACAACTCTTGAATGTAACTACTGATAATGTACACAGCCTCCATACAGATCATTCATCTAAACTCACCACTGCGACCGAATCCACTTCTCCCATTCAATTTTATTACTCTTTTAACCCTCTCTTAAACTGGCTTCCAGCAAACAATATTCAAAACAACAAATCCAATAATGTAGTCAACACATGTACTTCTTCAAGCGATAATACAGACCTAAGACCAAGCAATCAAGACGAATATGACATGAAAGATGAAGACATATGAAATCTCTCTCTTAGTTAAAACCAAAGCAACTGCCCTTTTCTCTTCCGCTCAGTATGAAAATACTACCGTGGAATATGAAAGGTTACACCAATAACTTCATCGAACTCCAACTACTAATAAAAGACATAAACCCTGACATTATATGTATACAAAAAACACATTTTTCCTATAAATACAACAAAACATTCCAACCCAAAGGATACACAGACTATTTTGATAATCTACCTATAAATAAATCAGCCAAACAGGACATTGCAGTACTCATAAGAAAACAAATCCCCCATAAAAAATTATACCAATCAGTGCAACAATTGCTACAATTGGAATTGAAGTAGCTTGTGAATTTTCGATCACAGTCATCAACGCGTAGGGTCTGATTATGCATACTTTGCATAACTTCGCACAACCATTTGTACCAGTCCAATAAAAATGTAACTTAAGAAAATGTGAAGTAAAATCTAAGCTCAACAGATCGCTAAGTTTTTAAAAGTTCTGCTAATTTCTGAGTAATGGAATACATACAAATTAGATACAAAGTATACGATAATACAGTTTGAAGTTTATGCGAAGTTGTGCGAAGTTATGCGAAGTATGCATAATCAGACCAAAACATCCCTCCCCACCAAAACTTTTCAACAACCGACTTGTGTTCGATTAGCCACAACTTAGCTTTACCAGTTCTGCTCGTGGGAGATTTCAATGCGTGGAGCCCATTATTGGGCTCGGACGTAGCAAACGAAAGGGGTAAAATAATTGAAGACTATATTTTGTGTCAAAGCAACATCGCAAAAAAATATGGAAAAGGTTTTTTTAACAGCGGTCGTCCCGCGGCAGGCAATGGCAAACCTCCGAGTGTATTTCTGCCATGAAAAACAGCTTCTCATAAAAATACAATCGCCGTTCGGAGTCGGCGTAAAACTGTAGGTCCCTCCCCTTTGTGTGACAACACACCACAAATTGGAGGAGAAGCTCGGTCAAACACTTACATATGTGTAAGCGCCAATCTATTATTATCAGGGAACGGATTTTTAGGACCTGAAAACCTATAAAAAAGGCAAAATAAAGTAACGAAATAGGCTGGAAAAGGCAAAATAAAATAGCGAAAAAGGCAGGAAAAGGCACTAGGTATTGGGAAAAAGGCAAAAAAAGGCAAAACAAAATAGCGAAAAAGGCAGGAAAAGGCAAAAAAAAGGTATTGCAAAAAAAGCAAAATAAGGCACTAAAAAAAGACAGAAAATACGAAGAACAATCAAAAAATATATTTATTTTAGAAATGTTTATATTAAAAGTAAAAAGAGAAAAACTATGAACTAGTTTCATTATATGAAAAATTTTTACTTTTAATCTTTGACTATTTTATCCTTTCGAGTTTCTAATTCATAAAACTTTAATCTGTATAGTTGTAGTAACATTAAACCACAAGATGCATTTTGAAGTTTTCTGGCAGCATTTTCATTCGATTTTCGCGAAGAAAAGCCTTGAATTTACTAAATGTGCGCTCGACGTAGGTTGATACAAGTGGGGCCCAATTTAAATATGGAACGTTTGAAACGTTCATATTATCAAGAATAAGGGCATTTTCCTCGCCCGTTACAATTTTATCCACACCCCTTATTGTCTCCAAGCCTACGTTTGCTGAGAAAACGGCTTTGAATTTTTTCAACACCAATTTGGCAAGAGGTCCCTGCGCTTCTATAAGCCGCATGGGCATGAGTATATTTTTTAATCTAAAAAAAAAAAATTGTAAATGCTATAATCACTTTTTTAAAGGTAGAAAAGGCAAAAAACGGCAAAAATCTTAAAAAAGGCAACATCAAATGTGTATATATGGAATCAGGGAAAGCTAAATCGTGGACATTCTTAATCGAATATACTCTATCTCTTTAGCAGAAAAAAAGGCAATTTCCATAAAATCCGTTCCCGGATTATTATTATTATTATGTAAGAATACAAAGACAAATTACTTATCAGAAGCATTGTTTTTACACACTGAAAAAAGTAACAAAAACTCTCAAAAAAGCAATATCGCTACTGCGAAATAATGGTTTGAAAAACCGCATAAATTCAAATCCGCATAAAAAAAAATCCGCATAAAAAGAGCCTAAGTGTATATAACATAACAGTTTTGCCTTCACTAAATGCTTTTGAGATATAGGATGTTAATTCATTAATTTATTAATGTTAATTTATTTATGTATATATTCTCATGCACAGAAGAATAGATGCGTGATATTTTGACCAGTTTTATCTACTCGGTAGGCACATATTCGCATACATATCTATGTAGGTATAATTTTTTTAATGTTCAATAATTTCTTATAAAATTTCAACTTATACACTTAGGTCTATTTTATGCGGTTCTTTTTTATGCGGATTTGAATTTATGCGTTTTTTCGAACACTTTTTTCGCTGTAGCGATTGTGCTTTTTTGAGAGCTTTTTTTACTTTTTTTCAATGTGTAAGGGGCGGCTAAGTAACTATGTTACATATGTATAAATGAGAATATAATATTTATAAAAATCATTACTTTGTCTTTCATTTCATAAATGAGTAGTACATTAGCATTTTCAAATGAATATTCCTGGTTTAGTCCCCATACATATGTATGTATGTAGTATAATAAAAACTACTATAATAATAGTAATCCCAACTGTTTTTACCCCCCATACCCGCCCATCCGCACGAGGGGCGCAGTCCGCATGACGTACGGAACAAGTATTTATTTTCAATGTTTGCGCCGAGTCACGATAGGCAGGAGTTTGTTAAGTGTCGAGATCTAAAATTGTTCAGTTACAGAACTAAATTCATCAGCCGATTTTATGTCTTTATTTTAATGACTCATTTATTGTGAGAGGACAGTATTGATTTCTTAATGCTGAAAAGCGGATCTGATATATCAAACGTGCTGGAATGAGAGTAAAAATCCTGGCATAAGCAACGGAGTGGGTCGTGCAATTCAAAATTAGTTTTACAAGCTTTCAGAAATAGGGGGCAAAAGTGTCTTGATACCCGGGAGGGAACATTAAGGCTAACTTCGCCAAGAAGAAGCGGACTTGAAATTGAGCCTGTNTGGGCCGGTTACTCAAAGTCTGTTTAGGCGTTTAATCAGAAGTTAATCGAAACTGTTTGAAAAAGTGTTTTCTGAATGTCCGGTTAGGGCACATCTGTCGGTAAACGTCCGTTTAAGTTTATCGGAGGATGACCTGCCGTTTAACTGCTAATCAGAACCAAAAGTGACAGCTGACTGGAGTGATATTAAACATATGTGGTTTTGTGTGCATTTCTAAAAATATTGTTTTGTGTAATTTTTCAAAATAATGGAACGACTCGAGTATATATCTAACCTATCTGGGCTCCCTAGGCGGCGTTTTATAAAACCTCGAACGTATGGGTGGAAAATAAATTTTTTTGAAATATTCGACGACTATACCTTCGTTCGCAGATTTCGCCTGTCTAAAAAAAGTGTTTTCTTCATTTTTGGTAAAATAAAAGAAAAAATTCGAAATCGTACTGAAAGGTCTGTAAAAATATATATGATAAAGCTTCATTCTTATTATTAATTTAATACATTTTGCAGAAACCACGCCCTAAGACCTGCGGAAATGGTATTTCTGGCATTGCGCTTCTACGCATCTGGGAGCTTCTTAGTAACCGTTGGCGATTTCTGTGGAGTCAGTACGGCCACTGCAAGCCGTATAGTTAAAAACGTGTCATATGCTATTGCGAGACTTTCCAAGGAATTCATTAAAATGCCTAAAAGCAGAAATGAAATTGAAAATGCAAATCGTGCATTTTATGGAATAGCAAAATTTCCGAAAGTTGTCGGATGTATCGACTGCACACATGTCAGAATTCAGTCGCCTGGTGGGGAAAATGCTGAAGTATTCAGAAATCGAAAAGGTTTCTTTTCTTTTAACGTACAACCTGTCTGCCACACAAATTTAGAAATAGCTGACCTCGTATGTAGGTGGCCTGGTTCTGCGCATGACAGCAACATATTCAATAATAGTCGGCTGAAGCATCGTTTGGAGCAGAATGAGTTTAAAGACTGTTTTTTATTGGGGGACAGTGGATATGGTGTCAGTAAATATATGATGACACCACTCTCACATCCAACCACTGCTGCAGAGCGGTTGTACAATGAGTCGCAAATACGTACTAGAAACTGTATAGAAAGATGTTTTGGCGTATGGAAGCGTCGATTTCCAGTGCTATCAATTGGAATAAGACTTTCTCAGGACACGACCATGGCGGTTATTATCGCCTGTGGAATTTTGCATAATATAGCTCGGCAGAACAAAGATGCAGACCCGCCTGAAGAAGAACACTGTAACGTTGGAGATCCCAATGAAAATTTAATGGAGGCGTATGATCCTATACCCGAAACACAGGGCGGTGCTTTTATGAGGTCGAGCTTAATAAGAGATTATTTTGGAAGGTCAGTTTACATGTCACGTCATTCAGTTAGGATTAAAAAAAATTGTTGGCTTTATTTCAGATTATAATGATATATATGTTGGAACCATTATCCGCAATCTGTAATTGGGAACGCTAAATCTGCATGTTTCAATAATAAAAGGTTTGCTCAGAAAATAATTTTCTCGCTCCCTGTTGACAAAATAGGCTCCCTTAGCAAGGCACTGTGTGTGGTGCGTGTAAGAGTGCAACCTTTCGTAAGGGAGTGTCAAATCTCTAATTCCACTAGTGAGTAAACTTTTCATAATTGTATCATGGGGTCGAAGCACATTTGCCCATCGGTATTAACTAATCCTCGATTGTATTTGTCTAACAACAATAAAAAAAACTCCGCAAGTGTGAATACCTACATCGATAACAGTGCAGTATTCGGTTTCCAGACTCTCCTAATAAACCGAAGCATACATAAGTGAGGACAACCATGGAGTCCAATACTCACGCCATCTATAAAATTGTAGCATTTTGTAAAGTATGCTAACATGTAAACTGAATTTAAATTCGTTCAGGTAAAATAAAACCTACATATTTATTAAGTCCCGAAATCATAGACTTTTAAAATAGTTTTACAGATAGACGACCAGTTGGCAACGTTAACGATTCAACCGACCGAGTACGCAAAGCAATAGGAACGCGGATAACATAAGTAGGTATGCGGATTTGTTGTTGCCTAATAATGGTGAATGCGGCAGTTGTGCCTGAAGCGCCAGTGGTTTCTCCACAAAAATGCCTACCACAAACTAAGTAAGGACTAGTTACCAAACTGCTCTCGACATGATGCCACTACGTTCACGATCCCAGGCCCATTAAATGTTAGGACTTTTCGGTACAACGGTGTATGCGGTATGTGTTTAGATGTGCCTAGGGTTTCATAGTGCGGTATGATTTTCGTATCGCTTTGGATTCAAACAAATATATTTTTATATAATTAATTTTTTCAATCTCATAGCTGTGCGAATTTGTAATATTTAAAGAGTGCCTGAAGCGCTTTTGCCGGCAGAACTACGATGATGCTTTTAAATCGTTGCTCCTAGCAAACACTGGAACACACGTTTAGAAGCGAGCTGTACAGGAGGTTGTAAATGGTGACATCGGAAATCGGGACAATTTATAATTGAACGTGTGAATAAGGATATCATGGACTCCTATATAAACACACACAACATACCCAAAGCAACACGCAATACAGTAAGATTAATGCTTAAAAAAATATCAAAATATGTATATACATACATACGTAAATATTCGTATAGATTCATAACTTACTGATTTATTTTTCCTTTTAGAAAACCGTAGACCTTTGGTTGCGGATATCTTTGCTCTATCTATACGGTGATTGGGATGGCAGCCATCGCTATAGCGTGACCTCAGCGTATTCGATATAACAAATAATAGTTGGATAGTGATTTTCGAACAAGTCGAGCTTTTTAATGAACGTACTCCATTTTCCAGTCACCAAATGTTCTTTCGTGTCCTAAAATATTGTTCATAGTTATTATCAAACGGAGGAAACAAGAAATTGTATTCGTTTTTAATTTAACTAAATATTAGTGGAACTAGAATGGTGGCAAAAATTTAAAATGCATCTCTAAAAAGAAATACCTGTATTTTGATTAAATCTTGATTTGCCAGATATTTTGTAAAAAGATTCTTTAAAAATAACATTTATTAAAACACAGTTGGTAAAAGTTCAATATATTATTAATAAAGTTTTTATTAATATGTTAATAAATTCATATATACAGTGGCGCTTACGTAAATAGCACACTTTTATTTATTACAATATTCACAATGTTTTACGTTACCCATTTGTTTCGTTTATTTTTCATAAAAATATAGTAGATTATATTTTATTAACCACATACATAAGTCAAAGTTTTAAACTTTGTGCACAATTCACAAAGATTAAACAAATTTCAAAAAAAAATTTAATAAAAATTTTCATCTTTTATCCGAATAGCAAAGGGTACTTCATAATCTGCTCCGACAGTAAGTCTACGTTAAACCAAAGAACGTAGATAACAAGAAGGGACAACTCGTTATAATTGTAGCGAAAGTTAGCAACAGGGGCGTGCCTTCTCTTTTGCCCTAGTACGTGTTTTGATTGGATAAAAAGGGAAGGCATGCCCCTGTTGCGCACTTTCGCTACAATTATAACGAGTTGTCCCTTCTTGTTATCTACGTTCTTTGGTTAAACGCAGTTCGGAATGTAAACAACTACGACAATACTATTTCGGAAATAAGAAGTATATGCATAAAAAACTGTAACAAAATCAGGCTCATGTGGGTTCCCGGACACAGAGGTATAAAAGGTAATGAATTCGCTGACAGTGACGCATTGGACACACACTCAACGCCTTGTATAACACATCACACTGCAAACAACAACGATATTCTCAAGGCCATAAGCAAACTACTAAATGCTCAAAGAGATATAAAGTGGCGTAACCATACTCATAGATACGCCCTGCTTAATCCACAAGCCGAAAGATCGGTATTTCCAGCCTTACTCACGCGGAAGGAAACCACAATACTCACTCGTCTGCGTTTGGATCACGCACGGCTTACACACGAGCACTTGCTGCGGGGTTTAGGACCCCCAGGTTGCCCTCTTTGCAGCAGCACATTATCCATAGATCATGTAGTAGATAACTGTAGTCAATTAGATTTTTTTAGAGGAAAATTGTTCGGCTCTACTGCACCAAGCTCCCTCTTATATATATTTAGCGTTGAAAATATTTCAAAATTTATAGATTTTTTTAATTCTTTTAATTTACTCCACCAGATATGAATGTATCCTGAGAAGCTTCCGATATTGTATAACGATGTAATCATTTAATCAAATAGTTATGTTTACATATAAGTTTATAACTCTCAACAGTTTGGCAAACGAGTCGAAGGCCCTAGCAGCTAGTACTCCTTTAGTATTTAAGTGTAATCATTGTATTATTATGCCTAAATTTAATAAATAAATAAAAACAAATGAACCTGAAATATTTATACCAAACCAAGAAATTACTCCAGGAGTAATAATCAGCAACACAATTACAAATTCACAACGTCTGTTAGTCCGAATACTAAACATAACAAATGAAAATATCACAATAAACAACCAAAACATTTTCTATGAAAAACTGTCCGACTAGGATATCCACGAAATATACCAAAGTAACTCAAGTAGTAGAAAAAAGTGGTATTAGAAAAACGCTCAATGAATTTTCGCAAAGATCATAAAAAGATATTAACTCAATTATGTTCAGAATATAGCGAGATATTTGGCATCGATTCAGAGTCAATAACAGCAAATAGTTTTTATAAGCAGCAAATACAACTTACAGATCCTACTCCCGTGTACATAAAAAATTATAGAATCCCGCACGCCCACAAATTAGAGGTAGAAAAACGAGTGAAAAAATTGGTAGAAGATAATATAGTCGAACCCGCTACATCAGCGTACAATAGTCCTTTACTTTTAGTTCCAAAAGAGTCACTGCCAAATTCAAGTGAAGAACGATGGAGGTTAGTCATTGACTACCGCCAAATTAACAAAAAACTAGTTGCAGATAAATTCCCTTTACCAAGAATTGATGATATTCATGACCAACTTGGAGGAGCAACATATTTTTCATGCTTAGATCTCATGTCAGGTTTCCATCAAATAGAATTAGATGAAAATTCCAGAGATATTTAGGGAGTTCACAAGGTGTTGTATACTGTCGTACTGTTGTATNATGACCAACTTGGAGGAGCAACATATTTTTCATGCTTAGATCTCATGTCAGGTTTCCATCAAATAGAATTAGATGAAAATTCCAGAGATATTTAGGGAGTTCACAAGGTGTTGTATACTGTCGTACTGTTGTATGTCATAAACTTTAAACGGCTAAAAGTATATTTAGGGAATTCGCAGGCTAACATAAAAGTTTTATTATGAAATTGCACACAATTAAAAAATAGTTGGTGGTGATTTCAAGTCCTCTAATCATTTATTTAGCCGTTAAAAACTTTACAACATACAACAATACGACAAGTACGACGCCTTGTGAACCACACAATTACTTAATTTTCCACAAATAGTGGCACCAAAATAACACCAAATTCTTTCCAAAGAATGATGACCTATGCATTTGCTGGCTTATCACCAGCACAAGCCTTTATCTATATGGACGATTTAGTCGTTTTAGGATACTCTGAAAAGCACATGATTCAAAATCTAACCGATGTATTTGTTTTGTGTAGACAACACAACTTAAAACTCAGCCCAGAGAAGTGCACATATCTTTATCTTTATAATTAAAAAAGTTCCACGACAATCTAATCACTGGTGGACCCAGTGGTGTCCCGAGAACTAATGCAAAAATAAAACGTTATTACTATTGGCGATACCTGACTAAAGACATAAAAATATATATAAAGTCATGTGAGAATTGCCAAAAAGCAAAAATAACAAGACACATCAAACCACCCGCAGTAATAACACCAACACCAAATGCTGCGTTTGGAGTAATGTTTGTTGACACGGTTGGAGCTCTGCCTAAATCGCAGAGCGGTAACGAATACGCTGTTACAATTATTTGCGAACTAACCAAATACTTGATAACAGTTCCAGTTCCGAAAAAGGACGCAAAGACAATAGCAAAAGCAATTGTAGATTCCTTGATCTTAGTCTATGGCCCTATGAAGACACTCATAACGGACATGGGCACAGAATACAGGAATGAAATTTTAAATGAGATTTGCGAGCTATTCAAAATACAAAAAATTACATCCACCGCTTATCATTGTCAAGCACTAGGTACAGTAGAGCGTAGCCACCGCACTTTAAATGAGTACTTTGGCTCATATATTTCAGTGAAAAAGACGATTGGAACGAATGGTTGCGAAATTTTCAGTAACACACAACTACCGCCGCTGATAAAAAAGAACCGATATATAATATAGATAACTACGCGAAAGAAATAAAATTTAGATTACAGATAGCGTGGGAAAGGGAAGACTTTTGTTACAGCAACAAAAAGAAAACGCAAAGAAATTAGTAGATATGAATTCAATAGATTATCAAATAAATATAGGAGATAAGGTAATTATTACAAAAGAAACAGGACATAAGTTAGAAAATAAATATATAGGACCATAGAGTGTCATAGAAATAGACGTTAGGAATAACTATACAATAGAAGACAAAAATAAGAAAAGCCTTAGAGTACATAAAAGTAGATTAAAACTATTTAGCGCATAATTGTTCGCCAAATGAATGAATATCACTTTTTGAAAATACAGCTTGTCCTTTTCTCTAAAACATTTTTTATTATATAATCAGAATTTTAACTATTTTGTGTAAATAGAGATTTCAAAGACATATAATTATAATAAATTCAAAAAACAAAAAACCAAAAAAAAAATTAAATAAAGGTAATATTAAAATTTTGAAATTTTTATCATTTAGAATAATCTCATATATTATATGTATCTAAGCGTGATCACAACTGCAGTGTGCTCCCGCTTCCAAACGGGGAAGGTGTTATACGCTTACATAGTTGCAACATTAGTGGCGGACCTAGGTAGGGGAAATTGGGGAAATCCCCNATCTCATATATTATATGTATCTAAGCGTGATCACAACTGCAGTGTGCTCCCGCTTCCAACGGGGGGGTTATACGCTTACATAGTTGCAACATTAGTGGCGGACCTAGGTAGGGGAAATTGGGGAAATCCCCTCCCCCCCCCCCCAAGACTGTGTAACATGTATTTTCATAATATTCAACTGAATATCGTGACATATCATTACAAGAATATATAATTGGGCAATTCACAAGGTGTCGTATTTGTCGTGTTTGTCGTGAAGTCATGATATTTCATGACAGTTGTAAAAATGTTGTTATTGTTTTGTGAAGAAAAATAACACATGACGATACAACTCTGCAACCTATGTTTATTCGGTGTTATGTGAGGTTAAGTGCTGAGATATAATAAATAATCGTAACAGGTGTTCACANGTTTAAATATTATGACAGGTTCAGAAAACAACGAAAATTCCAAAATTTTGAATTCTTATTTATAGGATAATTTCCAAAATTTAAAAAACTATCGAAATCTGGGAGATTCTAGAAATTTTGGTGAAATGAGAATTTTTTGAAATGTACAAATTTATTGAGATTTTAGAAATGTTTATATTATCCAAAATTTTGTGAATTTTATTTATCCTAAAATCCATCATAAATGTAAAAATGTGAAACATCACAAATTGTCGAAAAATTGTTATGTTCATGGTACTTGTGTGTAAAAAACAGAAAATTCTTAGAATTCTAAAACATATTAACATTTTTGAAAAATTCCAAAATTGTTCCACTTTTCAGAACTTTTTCAAAATTTAGTATCAATACAACAAAGTTTGAGAATTTAAAATTTTTTGAAAATTTTGAAAACATCAACGTCCAAAAATTTTTTTGAATCTTCGAGAATTACGAAAATTTTTTAAATTTTCAAAAACGACGAAATATGAAAATGTTTCAACATTCGAAAACTTTTATTTTCGTTTGACAAATTTTCTATATTCGACACCTTTACTTAGAAAAAATTTGTTAGAATTCCTACAATTCTCAAAATCTTTTAAAAATAAAAACTTTTTAAAAATCTAGTATTTACACAGGATAGTACGCCACCATTACCTTTGTTGAAGAGATTCTATAATGTTGAGTTAACTGAGACTGAATGCTGGTTTGATTCCATCGCTGAGACCGGACTCACACATTGTCAAATCTTCACCGATGGCTCCATAACTGACTCTGGGTCAAGGTATTGGGTCTTTTTCGAGGTTAATGGAGATAAGCTTCACCTTTCTGTCGGGGAATATGCTTCGGTCTTCCAGGCTGAGGTAATTGCAGTACTCAAAGCTATGGACTACGTGGTGGAACATAGGTGGAGGCGAAAGAGTTTACGTGAGTGCAGTGACAACCAAGCTGCACTTAAGGCATTGATCAGCCCTCTATTTAAGTACTTCCAAACTAGTTCGTCAACCACAAGTCTCGACTAAAATATGATGGCGAACATAACGAGGTGGTTTTACTCTGGGTGCCAGGTCACTATGGAGTACCTGGTTATCAGACATCTGATCATTTGGCCAGAGTTGGCTCAGACCAGGCATTCCTCGGTCCGCAAACAGTTTTAGCACTCCGACCTTCGGCAAACAAGTCCATTTGCCCATCTTTCCTTGAAGAAGGTGAAACACTTTTTGTGCTTCTTGCTTGCGTGGTTATTTCGTCATAAATTTTTGTAAACTGGTTCTTTTCTCTATTGTCAGTTTCTGAAAAGTTCGGCGTAGAAAGCTTAGCCGTTTTGATGTTTTAAGTTTTGTGGTTTAAAAATGTGATAAATATTTTTCGCCTCACTTTAAAACTCGGAGCAATAAAAATAAAAATGATGCCAATAACACAAATAAACTATTTTACATGTACTCCACGTGCAAAGTCATGAGTGAGCCGAACATTTTATGAGTTTATGGTGAAGCTAATGTAAATAACGCTAGCGCTCGCAGTGCTCTTAAAAATATAACTCTTCCGAGCGAGAGAGTATTTTGATGTATTTACGAGCTCTATTTTAAAAAACCTACAAGTGTGTAATCACATTATTTAATAAACAGAACACAAGAAAACATTTTACTTTTATTTTGGCCACTCTGAGTTTAGTTTTTGAATTCACCCGCGATGCAAATATACATTGTTAGATCTAATTTTCACATTGAATTGTTTTACGAGGTTTGGGAATATTTAGAAATGTATCAGCAGGGGGTCCACGGAAACCAGTAAATTTTTTAAAGGGGTCTACCAGAAAAAAAAGTTTGGGAACCTCTGGCTTAAGTCAAGAACGTTGTCACTTCACTATGGCGACCCCAAATTAAATTGTTTTTGATTAAAAGTCAACTGTTTCATAATGTTAGGGAATGGTATATTTTTACGTTACGGTTCTTATTATTTTTTCATTTCTATGAGTAGTTTTTTTATTATTTTTTCATTTGTATGAGCAGTTTTTTATTATTTTTTTTTTTTTCATTGCGTAATTTGTATACAAACTCTTCGTTGATAACATGATCACTTCGTTTGAAGAGATGTTGTAAACTCTTTTTTCACTTGAACTGTTCGGCTTTTGGATAAGTGGAAACATTTAGAAAAATTTTTCTAGTGAAGCTTTTCCAAACACTATTCGTTTGGAACCAATTATGTAAGTTTTCATTTAATTTCGATATTTTAAGTCTTTACTTTTAGATAGGTGATAATCCTATTGAAAATATTTCCAAATCAAGATTTCTAAAATACCTTTCGTTTAGTTCCCATATTGTCACATTTCATTTATTTTATCAATTTACTGAGTTAAATTTTCTAACAGGTGGGAACCCTCCTCAAACATATTTTCTGCTGTAAGTCTTCCTAAAACTTTTTAGTTTGATACCCTCATGGCTAAATTTCATTTATATAATTACTTCAACTAAATTATAATTTTCAAAAAGCTGGCGACCCTCAAAATTATTTCCAATAGTCATCTTTCTCAAACCTCTTTAAAATTATACCTTTATTGTAATGTGGTTTATTTTATCAATTAAATTTAGTAACATTTTCAAACAGGTGGCAACCCTGCACAAACATATTTTCGGCTGTAAGCCTTCTTAAAAATATAAAGTTTAATACCCACATTGCAATATTTATCTTATCAATTTAACTGAGCTAAATCTTTTAAATAGTTGGCAATTCTCAAAAATGTTTCCAGAAGTTTTCTCTCTTAGACCCCTTTAATATAATATCTATGTTGCAATATATCATTTATTTGGTGAATTATATTTAGATATTCGCACTGCAATATTTCATTTATTTCATCAAATTAATTGAGTTAAAATTGTCCAATAGGCGCTAACCCTCCCAAAAATATTTCCAACAGATATCTTTCTCAACCCTCTTAGTGTGATACACATATTCTAATATATACTTTATTTGATCAATTTAACATTGCAATATTTTATATATTTCATCAAACCATGCAATATTTCATTTATTTCATCAGTTTGACTGAGTTTAAATTTTGAAGTAGGTGGTAGCCCTCCTAAAAAATATTTCCAACAGTTATCTTTCTTAAGCTTCTTTAATTTGATATCCACATTATCATATTTCATTTATTTTATCAATTTAACTTAATTCAAATTTGTAAATAGGTGGCAACCCTCCCAAAAATGTCTCCAACAGTAATCGTGATTAAACCTCATTAATTTGCTACCCATAATGTAATATTTCATTTATTTTATCAATTTAATTGAATTTAAAATGTTCAAACAGTTGGCAACCCTCCAAACTTTTGCATTATAAATGATCCTGGTATTATATCGAACAATCCAAAAAAAAAATATCAATTCAGCCGTTCTCCAGTTTTTAGGCCTGCTACGAACGAACACAACATTTTGGTATACATAGATATAAGGTGGGAGGTGCCATGCCCTCTTTTCCAATACCGCCCATTTTTCTACATGAGTATGGAATTATTTTATATATCTATATACCAATTTCCGGTACTCTACCACAAATGTTTCAAGAGATATACAATATGAAAATTTTAGTTAGTATGGGGGTGCCACACCCCCTTTTCCGAATACGGGCAAACTTCACACAAACCATCGCATGAGAGCACAAATATGCCATACAAAATTTGGTTGAATTCGGTGAAGCCGTTCTCAATTTATGAGTTCACACCAAAAACGTGCACTTATTTTTATATATAAGATAGGGGTGCCACGCCCCTTATCCAAATTTGGGCAAGCTTCACATAAACCATCTGCATCATGGCCTGAATAAGCTATATAAATTTGGTTGAATTCGGTGAAGCCGTTCTCAAGTTATAAGCTAAAACACTTATTTTTATATATAAGATTAGAGGTGCCACGCCCCCTTTTCCGAATTTAGAAAAACTTCACATAAACTATTTGAATTATAGCCCGAATATTCCGTATAAATTTTGTTAATTTTGGTGAAGCCGATCTCAAGTTATAAGGCAACACCAAAAAAGTGCACTTATTTTTATATTTTAGTTAGTATGGGTGGCGCCACGCCTACTTTTCCGAATTCGGGCAAACTTCACATAAACCATCGGCATAATAGCTCGAATATGCCCCATAAATTTGGTTGAATTCGGTGAAGCCGTTTCCAAGTTATCAGGTCACGCCAAAAACGTGCACTTATTTTTAAATATAAGAAAGAACGTCCTATTTTTTTGAAAAGTGTTGCCGCCTCATCTATATATATAAAAATGAAATGACGGCGATGCCTGACCAAACGGTTGAACCGATTTCAATTCCGTAAAAAGCACATTTTTGGACCTTCTGTGTGGAAGGTTCTTTGATTTTAAAAAATTTGAAATTTTTTGTTGTTGTTGCCGAAAAATGAAGAAAGCTGAGACGTCACGATTTTAAAATTTCATAGAGTTTTCCGTATATTGAATGTCACTAAACTACTAAACGGCTCTACCGATTTCGTTCATATTTGGAGAATATTTCAGCACCTTGAAGGGAAATATTTCGACCAAAAATTTAATCGCTAGATGGCGCTTGGGTAGGGATATTCATAAAAATTGCATTTACTTGCTGATTTGGCTCATATTTAGAAAACAATTTAGCCAATTTAAAAGAAATATTTGGACTTGAAACTTACACGATAGGTGGCCCTGTGGCCGAGACATCCCCAAAAATTATTTTACGCTAAGAGAGGGATATATCTACTATATATTTATGGTAAGTATGTATGTATAGTATGTATGTATGTAGCCTAAACGGACGGACAGAATTGAACAAAAAAATGTTGACATGACACCTGGGCCTATAATAGTGTAAAAAAGTGGGATTCGACAAGGGGGCGAGGCACCTCCCATAGGCGTGAAATTTTTAATCAGCCATAACTTCGAAACTATAAGTCACATGAACTCTAAATTTGGTATGCGGTCATATATATGGTAGGTGCTTACGGTAGAGTATATATAAATGACTTTGTAAAAGTGGGCTTGGCACATCCCATAGGTGTGAAATTTGTTATCAATCATAACTTCGGAACCATAAGTCACATGAACTTGAAATTTGGTATACAGTCATATATATGGTAGGTGCTTATAGTATGGTATAAATAAATGAGTTTGTAGAAGTGGGCGTGGCACATCCAATAGGCGTGGAATATTTTATAAGCTATAAATACGAAACTATAAGTCATATGAACTTGAAATTTGTTGTTCAGTCATACATATGGTAAGTGCTTATATTAGGGATGCCAATCCCGGTGTTTATGACGTCCCGGAAATCCCGGGATTTGCTTGCATTAGTCCCGGGATCCAGAAAACTTTGAAATATCGAATTGATAGTATGAATTTATTTATGAATTTTGAAGTATGATATTTGTAAAATGCCGTTTTAACTGCAATTAACAAAAGCTTGAAACTTTACTTTTAAGTTGCAGTCTGAGCCTTTTTTGAAGAAGATTTCAATGAATTTACTCATAGCGTCGCTAATGTAAATGAAACAGAGTTGTAAGGAAAAATTAGATAATTTTTTAGATCAATCTACTCAAAACTTCCTCAAATCGAAAAACGTGCTGGTAAAATAAGTTCAAATATTTTGTTATGGAGGAGATAGGGGTCATTATCTTCAAATGGATCATGTCTACCTTTTGGCAGCTCAGCCTAAAAGTGTTGATGCCGAAATATGTTTTTCATCAGTAGGTCTTGTATGTAAAAATGCAGGTCAAGCTTAGAAGACTCCGCTTTGAATGCTTTGCTGCTCTTATGAAAACATTTTAAGTGCAATAATAACAACACCGGAAAAAAGGGGTGTGTTTTTAACCAGACCCACCTACCAACATGTATTTCGACCCGCTGAATCCGATTCTGAGATCCGTTTGACCCGTTCACCCTCAAAATTTCTAGTAAATTGCGAAAAAAAACGCAAAAAAATCTCAATTCGCCATTTCTTTAAGCCAAGCGTACACGGTAGAGAAATATCTCTAGAGTTTTACTGAAATAAAAATCTCCTCTCTCAATTAAGTTTACACAGTAGAGCAACTCTAGGAGATATTCACTCTTGCTAGAGACAAAATACAGAAATCTCAACTTTTCTCTAGCACGTACTCTACAAGCTGTGTACACGGTAAACAATATTTACCTCTTGCCTAGAGTAAGTTTTCTATCTCGAATTGTTGTCAACGCTAGTTGTATGTATATGTATACATATGTATTTATTTCAAAGCCACGATGTAGAAAATATAGTTTGCACCATCAGCGGAGCGCTAACCCTTCGTCGATTTGCCATCATTCACCTATTTGCTGATGTCATAAAATACATTTTCGCAATATGAACAAGAATTGAACTTTCAAATTGTAATTAATTGGCGAAAAAATTTTACCTCAAAGTAGACAAATGTACCTAAAAATTTAACATGGCAACCTCTCCCCTTCGGTCCTATGAGTACTTTTGGACTCGCATCAAACAACCTTTAATATTTAAAATTCCCTTGAAGAGTTTCTCCGAGCAGTTCCAGCCAAACTACTATATATATGTAGGTATTCGAGCAAGTGGCCTGGCACTCTGACATAACAGCAGGTAACTCAAGAAACGACTGTTGCCAGAGTGCCAGACCACCTGCTCAAATGTTTTAACCAATAATTATTCTCCTTTGCAAAGGACGGAGGCTATTGGAAAAGCCATTGAAATGCCAATGAAAATAAGAGGATGATTCCCGGTACATTATTTGGCTACGTTTTAAATGTACTTAAAATGGTGTGCTTGTATCGAACATACGATTTAATGTCGTAGCCATTTCAAAATTTAACAATCTGTAATGAAGTTAATTGTCAAGACTTTACTATACGTCTCCGTAGAGCAAAAAGTCTATTTAGCTCGCTAAATAGAGCGTAGAGTTTTCGATCTAGCTTCGTTGAACTGTGTACACGACGAAAAATTCTCGCTAAATAACTCTCACATAGACTTTGTAGGGGAGTCTCTCGTAGAGCTCTATTGAGTGTTTACACGTCTCTAGCGTGATTTTTGTCTAAATCTCGCGTTTTTTCTCTACCGTGTACACTTAGCTTTATAGAGTAGAATAAACATATTTAGAGAAATTGTTTTTGTATATTTTTGTTTTTATATTAATCGTTACTTTCAAAAGTACTTTATTTAAATTATTATTTGTGATGTATACGTTCCTCAATCACATAGTTTTTTAAATACAATTAAAAAAATGTTTTACTTTAAAATTTGTCTGATTGAATAAATAAATATTGCTAGCGTAGAGTGCAAAGTTGCTAAGTCCCAATTTAAAAATTGTACAGGAGAGGAAAAAACTTCATATAGCCATTTTGTTCAAGTATTTCGCAAAACTTTCTATACAACATTTTGCCTGTTTAAAGCAAAGCAAAACTCCATACGAATCAGAGGGACATTTTTGGTCTTATCGAATTTTTGGAGCTTTTTTGGCCTTAGCAAATTTTCTTTTCATTGAATATAAACTAGAAAACATAAAACGAGGACCTTTACCCTTTTCGAAACGATGCAATATAAATTTATCTAGCCTCCTATATCAAAATAAGATTTTTTATTAAAAGTGAAGTTAGCAACTTTTCACTCTAAGCTAGCGATATATGAGTTTTACAATCAGTTTATCGTAAATTTTAAATAGTTTTATTTCATGGTATGTTTAAATGCTTTCAGATATTGAATTTTTACTCATATTCATAAAATTTATGACTCAATTTGGCATCCCTAGTATATATGAATGAGGTTGTAAAAGTGGGCGTGGCACATCCCACAGGAATATTTTATCAGCTATAACTCCGGAACTATAAGCCACATGAACTTGAAATTTGGTATGCAGACATAACTATGGTAGGTGCTTACAGTAAAGTATATATAAAGGGGTTTGTAAAAGGGGGCGTGGCACATCCCATAGGCGTGGAAATTTTTTTCAGCTATAATTTCACAACCATCAGTCACATGAAATTGAAATTAGGTATGCAGACATATCTGCGGTAGGTGCTTACAGTAGGCTATATACATGAGTTTGTAAAAAGGGGCGTGGCACATCCCATTAGCGTGGACCCTTTTATCAACTATAACTTGGGAACCATAGGTCCCAAGAACTTAAAATTAGGTGTTCAGGCATATCTACGGTAGGCGCTTTAAGTAAGGCATATATAACTGAGTAGAACATCCCATAGGCGTGGAAAATTCGGAATCATATGTCACTTGAAATTGAAACTTGGTACGCAGACGTATCTATAGTAGGTGCTTATAGTAGGCTATATATAAGTGAGTTTGTAAAAGGGGGAGCGGCACGTCACATGGACCTGGAATGTTTTATCAGCGATAACTCCGGAACTATAAGTCGCTTGAACTTGAAATTCCGTACGCACCCATTTTAATGGTAGGGTATATATAAATGAGTTTGGAAAAGAGTGCATTGCACATCCAACAGGAATGGAATTTTTTATCAGCTATAACTTCGGAACTATAAGCCCCACGAACTTGAAATTTAGTATGCAGATATATCAATGGTAGGTGCTTATATATAAATGGGTTTGTAAAAGGAGGCGTGGCACATCCCATAGGCGTGGAAAATTTTAACAGCCATAATTTCAAATCCATAAGTCAAATTAAATTGAAATTTGGTACGCAAACGTTTCTATGGTAGGTGCTTAAAGTACACTGAGGTAAATAATGCATAGTAAAAATTAATACCTTATATTTGATTATCGTTTAAAAATGTTCGAATTTAAAAATAATATTTTCATACAACATTTATTACACACGTATTTGACCGTTCACACCTGAGTATATATATGAGTGTACATACGCACCCCAAGCATGCAGAGCGCCACTCTGAGAGCGGTGACAACACACACATTCATACATAGTTACGGTGACCATAAATATGGATTCAAAATGAAGGACAATTTTTCAAAAATATGCCTACATATATTTACGTAGTATAAAAATATCAAAATAGTATTTATGATTCTAAATTCTTAGTACATTTTAAACTTTAAAAATTAATCACGTTTTCTTCATTCATATTAATATTTTTTTGCATGAATATTTATAAAAGTATAGTAAAACATATTATAATTACAATAGCTTACACGAAAAGTGAAAATCTTTAAAATATTATTTTATAGGCAAATTTTTAGTCGTTCAAAACAATACCGTTCTTTTTTGTTTTTTTTTGGTACTTTTCGCAATTATTTGTCAAAAATCGACGTCATGAATCGACGTAAACGACGAGTTACAAAGTGCCCTTTACAAAAATATATAATTTGTGCAGGTTGCGCTCCATAGCATCTACATTTCTAATCTGATTTTCATTATCTTTGGCTCAAAGTTTACTGTAATGATATATCTTCGATATCGAATTTTTTAAATAATGAAAAAAAAAAATGTATCACATGAAACTGCGTATTTGATTGAAAATCTCACTTTTTTCGCCTGTAGCACTAATAATTTTCATTGAAGTCGCCACAAGTTATATATTTTGGTAAGAGGCACATCAATACCCTTCGAGCTGTAAGTCGGTTACGTTAATTTGGAGATTTTTTCATGAGATATTGAAGAAAAGTACCAAAAAACACTTTTTTAAAAAATCCATCCATTGTCCGATAACTTTAAAATAACGAATTAAATGCAGGACACTTGGAAAAAATCAGTACATTTTCAGATTTTTCAGGTTTGAAAAACTACGCAGGACCGACCTTCGAAAAACAGTACGGTCCTGCAAAAAACAGAACGTATGGTCACCGTATACATAGTACATGTTTAGCCGTACAAATCGCGTGCTGTGGTGTTGATGGATATTCAACATTTGAAAGCAAATTCATATGCCTGTGTGTAGCTGAGTACGCAAAGATGCATGCCACAGTTTGTTGATATCCAGAGATGGTCAGGGTTCGAGTTCCACTGCAGGCAACATAACATGCAAGTTAAATATTTTTTTTTTAGTTTTGGTCTTGATTATTCACTTCACGGATGCTTTTTCAGAACGAACGCGGTCATTTTAATATGCGCGTAATTGAATTGAATATTTACCAATATACAGTACTTTCGTTGACGTTTATATTAAGATCAATTACGTGTCTATTTGATTTTAATATTTTTTCCCCTCAGTGTAGGGTATCTTAATATACATATAAATATCCCGTGTCACTGTGTTCGTTTACGGTAATCTTCGAAACCGCTTAACCGATTTCAATGAAATTTTGTGGGTGTGTATTGTTGTTCCAACTTAAAAGATATAATAGTTGTGAACCCGAGAAAAAATATTTTCGTGCTTATCTAATATACTATATATAATAAATCGAACTCGAACGGCTCGACCGATCTTTTTGAAATTGTTTGTGTTATATATGGTAGGTATGAGAATTGGATGTAAAGCATATTTCATACCGCTAGGTGCAGGGGGCGTGGCACCTCCCATAAAAACAATTTTTCATACTGCATATCCCGGAAAATGTTCATGGAAGAGGTCTCGAACTTGGTATGGAGATATATGAAAGCAATCGCAAACTCATGGAGATAAATTGTGGTTATCGGAAAAGGAGGCGTGGCACTTTCCATACACATCGAATTTTTCATACTGCATATCTCTGAATGTGTTCATGAAAGAGTACTGGAACTTGGTATGTACAAGGTATATAAAACGCGTCTGGTCATGAAGAAAAGTTGGGGCTATTGGAAAAAGGGACGTGGCACTTCCCATGGTAAATTACTCGAAAATGGTATAGATATATATGAAATCAATCCCATGCTCTTAGAGAAAATTGGGGTTATTTGAAAGGGGACGTGGCGCCTTTCAAACGCACTGAAACTATTACGTATTTATCTTTGTATGCATGTACAGTTTTGCTAAGTTATTTAAGACAGCAAATATGCCTTCTCACAACCACTAAACCGTAATATTAGAAGACAAATGCGTCACTAAAATCATGAACGTGAACTCTTGGTGAAAATGTTAGACCGAAATGTTTCAATACACGGTTAAAAATTTCGGTTTTATTTTTAAACTTTTTGTACTAAATACATATATGACCAAACTAAATTCAGTTTCATATACAAACCTTCTAAATTTAAAAAAGAGGGCACATATGTTGGGTTTAGAATTTAAACAGTTCGGTTGAAACTTTAAACCCAAACATTTTCATAATTAAGAATAAATAATAAAAATTAAATTTCACGCTCCGTCTGATGGGGATTGAACCCGGACAGCTTTAGTAGCAACCAATTGTATCAAGCATCTTTGCACACTCAGCTACAACCACGCTATAAATGTGCTTTCATAAGTTGAGTTTAAATCAACACCACATTTCGCTGTGTGCAAACATTTTCTATTTCGGTTTAGATTTTAAACCAAATTTTCTATATATGAAACCTAGAAACTAGAATTAGAACATTTTGGTTTGATTTTTAAACCACGAACTTTTTGGACTAAAATTTAAGCCACAATATATTAAAAATTGCTTAAAACTATTGACTGGTTTAAAAAGTAGACTATAAAACGACGAATAGACGAAGTTCGCCGGGTCTGCTAGTCTATATATATAATACGCGAAGGGATTTTTTGTGCTGCATAAAAGATCTGTACCGATCGTCCGATTTTCAAAAATGAGATGTCACATTAAAGCGCTTGGTCTGTAGATGTGCAATAAGGTTTTACATTTTCGAAAGGAGTTGCCACCTTTTAAAAAATTTAGTTCAAAATAATACGCGAAGGCATTTTTTGTACCGCATAAAAGATTTGCACCGTTCGTTCGATTTTCGAAAACGAAGTGTCAAATTGAAGCGCTTGGCCTGTAGATGTGCAAACTAGTAAATTTTTATTTTTGGGAAGGGCATCAGATTTACACCGTTCTGTCGCTTTTCCAAATGAGACGTCAGATGAAAAATACTGACTTACAGACCTGTTTTGGGTTTTTAAAGGGTTGCCGCCTAATTAAAAATGCATTATCTGAATATGATAGTCAGTAAAATGTTACAATATGGGCATCAAGCGAAAGGGGTTTGAGACTAAATTAATATGTTGGTGTTTTAAATAGAGTTACCACCTATTAAACAAGTTTATAACTATGAATGGTAAGTAATGTATTAAGGACATTCAATATTGCTATCAAACGAGAGAAAGTTAGGTGAGCTTCTGCGATATTTATTTAAAAAGTTTATAACTATGAACGGCAAGTAATATATTAATATATCAATTATATATCAAACGAAAAGGAAAAGAAGTGATGTTTTACAAAGATATATTTGTTCGAGGATTGCCACTTAGTTAAGAATTTACTGAAAGTAAACGATAATTGATCATTAAAAATACTTATTTATATTAACATACATACATGTTTTTGGAAAAAATAAACAATGCATTTTTAGTTAGGCGGCAACCCTTTAAAAACCAAAACAGGTCTGTAAGTCAATATTTTTCATCTGACATCTCATTTGGAAACGCGACAGAGCGGTGTAAATCTGATGCTCTTCCCAAAAAAAAAATTGTGATAGGCGGCAACACTTTTCAAAAAAATAAGACCTTCTTTCTTGCAAATCTTTAGATCAAGCCCGTTTAAATTGCACCCTTTTTTAACCGACTTCCAAAAAAGGAGGAGGTTATCAGTTCGTCGGAATATTTTTTTTTTTTTTTTTTTTTATGTATGTTCCCGCATAACTTTGGACCACGTCAACCGATTTCGATAATTCTTTTTGCATCGGAAAGGTAGTGTCTCAGAGGTGGTCCCATACTAATCTGGTTAAGATCCGATCAGCGGATCATGAGATATATATATATATATTTTTTTTTATATGGGAGTTGAAGTCGGTTTTTTTTTTGCTAAAACTAGTAATTTTTTTTTAATTGCGCGAACGATGTAAGTCTTATAATCTTAGAAGCAGGTGACAGCCCACAGTGGTTTGGATAGCAGATCTAGCTGGACGAAAGTCAAAATTTGTTTGTTTTTAAAATACTTAATGGTACTTGGAATACATTCCGGACAGTACATTCAAATAGAAATTGCATTTATTAAAGCATTAACATATGAAAACAAACAAAAAACAGTGTTAAAACAGAAAAATACTTGCAGTTATAAAAACTTTGGTTATATAAGAGTTGAAAAAAGTAGTACCTCGCGAATTTTCCGCTTTCTGAAATTACAAAATTATACAACAGGCAGGCAAATCTTTAAGCGCTGTTATAAAATTTTTTCTGAAATTTATTTGTGTTTCTTGCTGTGATCTTAAATTTTAGTCATGGTAAGTAAAATCTTAAGAAGTGAGTTGTTTGACATTTGGAGAAGTGTTGCTGAAACTTCTAAAAGACAACAGGGTGTCCGTGATTATGTGATTAGTAAATTGAAAGAAATATCTGATGAAAATGCTCGTTCCGAAGTAAATAAAGTAAATGACCTTAGATTCGTAATCAGCAACCGAGAAAACCCCCCGGTACCCAATTACATAGAAATCTACCAATCTTTTTTTTAAATTTTCGTCCGCCATATTGGATCCGCCATTTTGAATTTTTGGTAAGTGACTTCAGATTCGTAATCAGTGACTCAAAAATACCCTAGGTAAGAAGTGGTGTAAAGATCCATCAACGAGTATTTGTTTAAATAGTTTCGTCCAGCTAGATTTGCGATCCGGCAACCCTATTCAAAAAAGTCATGCGTTGTGGTATATACATCTGGGGGCTAGGCCCTTTAATTTGGCACCTTAGTTTTGAAAGTCGAATAATCGGTGCAGATCTGATGCCGTTAACAAAAACTCCGTTCATGTATTGCTTGTATACACATGTATATAGATTTGAACTAACCCTGGTATTTGGGTATAGGGGTTATTGAAATCCATGTAGGAGCTTCAAGACTATCGCATTCGAATATACACATAAATATTTGACTCAAATTAAGAATGAGTAAGGAACTTTTATCATACAAGTTGTATGTACGTATTCCCAAATGATTTTGAAAAAAGTGTCCTTTATTTTACGTTGGTTAATATGGTCTCCGTATATAAACATCTGGAGGCTAGGCCCTTTAATTTGGCACTGAAAATCGAATAATCGGTGCAGATCTGATGCCGTTAAAAAAACTCCCTTCATGGAATGCTTGTATACATATGTATATAGATTTGAACTAACCCTGGTATTTACTCAAACGAAAGCGCTAGTGAAAGAGTGGAGAGTATCCAATGAACCCTCCATGTCAGATCATAGAATAATAAGGTTTGACATTGAAGCAACCCCTCCTATACATAGAGTTTTAAGAAACCCCAGGAAGACAGACTGGGAGAAGTTCAAAGACAACCTGAGGTTGAATGTAGCACAACCTGGGCTAGGTCAGAAGATCAGGAACGAAAAATAACTTGAATTCGCTACAAAGCGCTTCAATGAATGACCAATTGACGCATATGAAGACAGTTGTCCTATAAGTAAGGTACGTTCCTCCAGGGATGTACCCTTGTGGGACAACTACTTAAGTAAACTCAGAACCAAAGTCCGGAAACTGTTCAATCGAGCAAAACGAACCGAGGAGTGGTCAGAATACAGAAACACCTTAACTCTGTACAACAAAGAAATAAGGGAATCTAAGCGTTTAAGCTTTAGGAACTTCTGTGAAAGCATAGAAGATACTACGGAGGCAACAAGACTCTATAAGGTAATGGCAAAAACGAACTGTATTTAAGAGTGATGGGAGTTTCACTTGCAGCGAGGAGAAGAAGATCAAACTTCTCATAGATACTCACTTCCCAGGATCTACATCTTATTCCGAAACAGATCGGACTGAGCAGTGCAGTAAAATAAGCAGAGGAAACTGGTTAGTGGCTAAGGAAGTATGCTCCGGGCCCCGGCTCAGGTGGGCGGTAAATACCTTCAAACCACTGAAGTCACCGGGAGCGGATGGAATTTTCCCTGGCATCCTACAGCAGGGCTTAGAATGCGTGATTGAACCGCTATTAAAAATAATTAGAAGCAGCATAGCATTGGGTTATATACCAGNGTATGCTCCGGGCCCCGGCTCAGGTGGGCGGTAAATACCTTCAAACCACTGAAGTCACCGGGAGCGGATGGAATTTTCCCTGGCATGCTACAGCAGGGCTTAGAATGCGTGATTGGACCGCTATTAAAAATAATTAGAAGCAGCATAGCATTGGGTTATATACCAGATGCGTGGAGAAGAGCGAAGGTTGTTTTCATCCCGAAGGTTGGAAAGATGGACCCACTTCATCCAAAATCCTTCAGGCCGATCTGCCTGACCTCATTTGTACTAAAAGCTTTAGAAAAGGTAGTAGATAACTATGTAAGGACTACGGTCTTATTGAACTATCCACTGAATTCGCGCCAGCATGCATATATGGCGGGCCGCTCTACTGAAACCGCCCTATACGCGCTGACATGCGCACTTCAAGATAGCTTAGAAAATAACGAGACTGCTATATGCGCTTTTCTGGACATCGAGGGGGCGTTTGACAACACCTCGCATGCTGCAATAAACAGTGCTTTGATTTGCAGGGGTGTAAACAATACCCTCGTAGCCTGGATTAATTGCATGCTCCGCACCAGAAATACAAACCTGTACGAATACTACAGTTGTTGCCGGAACAACAAGGGCCTGTCCACAGGGTGGAGTGTTATCTCCACTACTATGGAATATAGTCGTCGACGAACTGCTCCAAGAGCTAACAGATACTGGACTAACCTGCCAGGGGTACGCCGACGACATTGTAATATTATGCAGGGGGAAATTCGAAAACACCCTGTGTGATAGAATCCAGCTAGGGCTGAACGTAACAAAAAAATGGTATGCCAAAGTGGGGCTGAATGTAAATCCAGCAAAAACCACTATAATACCATTCTCAAGGAAATACAAACTTGATAGTCTAAAAGCGATAAGGCTAGATGGAACCAACATCATGTACCAAAAAGAGGTTAAATTCCTAGGAGTAATACTAGACCAAAAACTACTCTGGAAAGCACACGTAGAAGAAACTGCGAAGAAAGCTGTAAGATCATTTATGACGTGTAGGTCCATGGCAGGTAAGAGTTTGGGCTGCACACCAAAGATACTGAGATGGATCTACACGACAATAGTACGACCCATGGTAACCTATGGAGCCATCGTTTGGGCCGATAGAACTTCAAAACTTGGAGCAATCAAAGTGCTCTCCAAGATACAAAGGCTGGAATGCGTATGCATAACGGGAGCCATGAGAACCTGTCCAACCGCATCCTTGGAGGTTCTTTTAGATCTTACCCCTCTTCATATTTACATACAGACTCAGGCGAAAAGAGCTTTACTACGGATGACTGGTACCAATATCGGGGCAGCAGGGTGTCTTGGTCGTGGGAAGTTAGATATTCTTACGAATAAGTTCCCTGAAATTGCAATACCGAGGGATACCATGCATCCGAGGTTCAGCTTTACAAAGAGGTTTAAGACTGAACTGAGTAATAAGAAGAGCTGGGCAGGCATATCCGAGACATATCGGATAAACCAAAACATGATTACCTGGTACACTGATGGCTCATTGACCGACGAGGGTACCGGGGTAGGGGTAGTTGGACCGAGGATAAGATACTCGGAACCCATGGGGAAACATATGTCTATTTTCCAGGCTGAAACATACGCCATAGAAAGATGCGCGGACTTTAATATCAAGCGAAACTACCAGAATCAGAACATCGCGATCTTGACTGACAGCCAAGCGGCTATCAAGGTCCTCAGATCTCACCAGGTAACATCTAAACTGGTGATGGAGTGCCTCGACAAGCTGAATACTCTTGGTCTGACCAATCGGGTTTGGGTTCTCTGGATTCCGGGACATATTGGTATTAAAGGAAACGAGATTGCCGATAAACCAGCGAAGAAAGGTGCATCAACCCCTTTCACCGGTCCAGAACCTTTCTGCGGCCTGGGAAAAGGGGCACTCGCTAAACTAGTTCGGCTAGAGGAAGAAGCTCAGAGGAATCACTACTGGGATAATCTACCAGGTCTAGAGCAGTCCAAAGCACTTTTAGGAACATATAACCTAAAACGCTTCAAGGAATGTATGAGCTTATCAAAGAATAACTTAAGAATTGTTACAGGAATCCTGACAGGACACTGCAGGCTGAACTATCACCTGACTAAACTGGGAATTTACTCGCATGAGCGATGCAGATTTTGCAGGATGGAAAACGAGACTGCACAGCACATCTTAGAAGAATGTCCTGCACTGATGCATAAACGCAAAAGGCACCTGGGTGAACATCTGATAACCAAAGGCGAAGTGAAATCCGTAGACTTAGGTTCTATACTAAAGTTTCTCTCGGATACTGGATTAATAGACACACTATAATCCATGAAGGGTGTACAATAGATCTTAAGGTCGCAGTGCTCTATCCCCAACAATAATAATAATAATAATAACCCTGGTATTTGGGTATAGGGGTTGCTCAAAAAAATAAAAGGCAAATTTTAAATTTTATTTTTACCTTAAAAAAATAAAAAGCAGAAATAATCGGTATTATTTGCTCAAAATGATAAAAGTCATATTTTTAAAAGTCATGGAGGAATCAGAATCTACAATGAGAGACGAGTCTAATATTACCTTTGAAAAAGCTATAACATAATTTTTTCACTATGCCTTTTTGATATCAAAAATTTTGAAATAACTTTTATTTTCAGTCTCTGCTTTGATCATAAAAGCGCTCCTAAAATATCGCGCGGAAACCGAATTCGTTCCGGCTCACAGGCGAACGTTAGTATTCTAGGGTTGACGCACAACAATTTTCACGTAAACCGACAAGACCGGCTGACTTCCAAAACGTATCAATACAATGTTTGGAAACTGTTATACTGCGGTATTCAAACTGTTTGTATATGCAGAGTTGCGTCACATTGCAACCATATACATTGCATATTTTAAATATTCAATATAGCAATGAACAATTTTTCTGAATTTTCCATTTCTAAAACACCAATGCTAACCAATAACAAACGAAGCATCAACTTTGTTTCTGATGCGCTGATTGCTCCAGCGATGCGGTTCGATAACTTTTCGGCTGCGTTTTGGAACAGTATACATTGTCAATATTTTGTAGTTCGACGTTATGGAACCTTATACTTTGTACGTATGCAAAGCAATTGACGTTTTGGAAGTCAGCCACCGCTTCAAGACGGTCTTCAAAATACGATGTCCACAGCACAGATAATAGCACTTATTGCTCCAAATAAAATATTTTTGTAGTAATATAAAATATTTCGCACGCATTAATAATTTTTTCCGTACGTGTGGCAATTATTAATAAACTTTTTCTGCGAGATAAGTAACACAAATTTTTTCTTTAATTTTCTCTTCGAAATACGACCACCACGCCAAATTAACGGACACTACTTTATAACGGACGCAAGTAAGCAAGAAAGGTGAAATTCTATTTGCATGCCGTTGAATTAAAATCAGGACTATTACAGTTATTTACCGATATTTTTAAAAACATGTAAAGACCGTCTATAGACGGCCTTATCGGTTAAAGGGCTAAGTTAAAATTTGTCAGCCCCAAATAAGACGAAAGTTAGTTGCATCTTTTTTTTACAGATGCCTAGTCCACTGAAAGTGATATGAAAAAGCTGTACCTAACTGTAGTGTCGACTTTATTTTAACTATGAATGTGCCCCATTATTTACATATAATACGAGTATAGCAGTGAAAAATTATAATACACAGTTTTTCTCAATATAAATAACTTT